TTTAATTCACTTTAAACCAGAAAAATGCATTTATGGTGTTATGTAGTGTGGCAACAACTGTGATGAATTTTGGATGGCAGAAGGCAGGTTGGAAAAAATGGAAAAAATTCCTTAAAAATCCAGGATGTATGGATGGGTTTGGAAAAGGATTTTTTCCAGGGTGCAGAGAAATTATAGGTGTTCATTTTATTAGTTTTAAACCAGTAAAAATGCATTTATGGTGCTATGTAGTGTGGCAACAACTGTGGTGAATTTTGCATGGCAGAAGGCAGGTTGGAAAAAATTCCTTAAAAATTCAGGATGGATGGATGGATGGGTGGATTTGGCAAAGGAATTTTTTCTAGGGTGCAGAGAAATTATAGGTATTCATTTTATTAGTTTTAAACCTGTAAAAATGCATTTATGGTGCTATGTAGCGTGGCAACAACTGTGATGAATTTTGGATGGCAGAAGGCAGGTTGGAAAAAATGGAAAAAATGGAAAAAATTCCTTAAAAATCCAGGATGGATGGATGGATTTGGCAAAGGAATTTTTTCCAGGGTGCAGAGAAATTAGTGGGGTTCATTTAATTCACTTTAAACCTGTAAAAATGCATTTATGGTGCTATGTAGCGTGGCAAAAGCTGTGAAGAACTTTGGATGGCAGAAGGCAGGTTGGAAAAAATGGAAAAAATTCCTTAAAAATCCTGGATGGATGGATGGATTTGGCAAAGGAATTTTTTCTAGGGTGCAGAGAAATTAGAGGTGTTCATTTTATTAGTTTTAAACCAGTAAAAATGCGTTTATGGTGCTATGTAGCGTGGCAACAACTGTGATGAACTTTGGATGGCAGAAGGCAGGTTGGAAAAAATGGAAAAAATTCCTTATAAATCCAGGATGGATGGATGGATTTGGCAAAGGAATTTTTTCCAGGGTGCATTAAAATTGCAAAATCCATCCCTAAGGAGTCAAGGGAGCAGGGCCTGGCTTCCTGCAGGATATTCCTGGTTTCAGGTGTGTCCTTTGTTCCCAGGGAGATCCTGGACCAGCCGGACCACGAGGAGACAAAGGAACCCCAGGAGAAAAAGGGGAGAAGGTGACGACCTCGCACTTCCTTCAGGGATAAAAGGATTTATTTTGTTTGTGGCCACCAAGAAAACTCTGAGATAGATGGAATTCCATCCATCCAGGAATCCAGGGGAAGATTTCCATGTGTGGAAATCCAAAGCTTCTGGAAAGGAAATCAGGGAGGGGATAAATGCTCAGCTCCTTGGTTATCCATGGGGATGGAAATATCTTGGATCTGCTCTGGGGAAATTTCTCCTGAGCTTGGAAAAGCTGCCATGGCAAGAGCCTGAATCCATTTGTTTTTTCAGGGAAGTCCAGGGTTTGGAATTCCTGGCCAGCCTGGGCTGAAGGGAGACATTGGTGACCGGGTGAGTGGGACAGTGGTATAGAAAGCGAAGGGACAAAACCCATCCTTTGATCAGCATCAAACTCCGATTTATTGATCAACCATGCTCATTTTATAACAGTGTTAATTAAGCTCATCCATATTGCAAAACCCGAGCTCATCACAGGTCACGGATTAAACACCAACCCCTCCTTTTGTTTTCAATACTTGTGGTTTGTTATGGAAACCAAGATTTGTTTTCTCACCCTGGTATGAAAGGTTCTCAAAACTTACTTTTGCTTTCCCATACCTTATCCAAGGACAAGATATTTACTTGTTATTAAAAACAACCTGAGAACTTCTGCTGTTTACATAAACGTGCCTGAGAACTTTTGTTGTTTACAGAAACAGGCTTTGAGAATTTGCTCCTCACAGCTGCCTTTTACTTTTCCATCAGCTGTATATTTTCATGGCCTTTTTTCCTTCAAGCCACGTCTGAGCAAAATTCTCCAACACAGTGGGGTGGCTGTGGAATGGGAAGAAGGGCCCAGGGGACAAACCAGGAGGTTCAGGGACAAAATCTCTCCGTCACCTCCATGGATTTGTTGGCCCTGAGGAGATGAACACCGAGGAGGGGACAAGGAACCAGGGTGGTGACCGTGGGGTGGCCTGGGGTGACAGGGTCAGGTGCAAAGGTGGCATCCCCCAAAATGTGGAGAATTCCTCATGGCTGGAGGAAAACACGGATGGTCAACGCTCAACTGGTGGCTCTGTGGACGGAATCCAAGGAAATCCCATTTCCAATTATTTCCCCTCCTGGAAAGTCACCTTGATCTTCATCTTCCTGACTTTTGTGTCTAGGAAGGTCTTGGTGGCTCCCATGAAGACTCCAGCGATGTCCAGGAACAGTTGGGTTAATTCTTGCTGTTCCCTTCTCCAATCCAGTTCATTTTAATCCAGAAAAAAATTGGCAAATCCCAATATTATGGATGAGTATCTTTGGAAGAGGGGTGGGAAGCTCAAAATATTGATGGTTGCAAAGTGGGGGAGACGGGAGACGCCTCTGGACAGGCTGCACTTGGCACAGCCTCTCGTGGGACATTCCCTGTTTTCCCCTTCTCTGATTTTACCTGGAATTATCTCACCTGTGTCATTCCTTCTGCAGGGAAATGTGGGATTGTCTGGGAAGCCAGGTCAGAAGGTGAGTCCATGGAAAGATTTGTTCCCTGGGAGGGTGGGGAGGCCCTGGCACAGAATTCCCAGAGCAGCTGGGGCTGCCCCTGGATCCCTGGAATGTCCAAGGCCAGGGTGGACATTGGGACAGGACCACCCTGGAGTAATGGAAGATGTCCCTGCCCATGGATGGGGATGGAACCAAGTGTTCTTAGAAGTTTCCTTCCAACATCTCTGATCAGGCCTTAAAAAACTCCTGCTAATCCTCACATGCAGGATTTTTCCCAGAAAAAGTAGAAAACCAGTCAGGAAATTTCAGGAAAAGATCCCACCTGTGGAATTTGTTCAGTGAGTGTCTCACTGTGGGCATTGCTCAAGCAGGGAGCTCCCCAGACCTGGCTGGAGGAAGGTTTGGGTTTGGGAATTGTTCTGTAGATCTGTGAATGGAATGTTTGGACCAGATCAGCTTCCAGAGCATGGAAAAATAGGATGTCACAAAATGGGATGCAGCCAGGCCAGGAGGTGTTAATGAGATGTGTTAATGAAGTTGCAAAGTGGAGGCAAGGAAAGGTGTTTGGGTTGGGAGGAGGCCTGGAGAGGTGGTGTCACAAATTTCCCAGATTTCATGGAATATTCTGAGTTGGGAGAAACCCACGAGGATCATCCAATCCAGCTCTTAAGGAAATGGGATCAATCCACGACCTTGTGGGACAAACAGCAAACAGAGCAGATGAGGACCCGTGAGAGCTCTCCCTCCATGGGAGCTCAGCTGGTTTAAATGGGAATAAAAATTAAAATGTGGCATGGGAACTGATCCATCTCGAGTCTCTGCTAATCTGAGCTGCTCCTGGAGTGGAGAACCTCAACAGATTCTGTCCTCAGTGAATTCCAGGGATGACTGTGGAGTCTGGATAGATGAGGTTAGAGCTGGATGCTTTCCAGCCTGATAATCCTACAAAAATAATAATACTATAATTAAATAATAATACTATAATAATAAAATAATTAAATAAACCTAAATGCTATAAACATATATTATTATATAAATCAAAATAAAAGAGATAGTAATACTAAAAATCCTACAAAAATAATAATGCTGTATTTAAGTAAACCTAAATGATGTAAACATAAATTATTAAATAAATCAAAATAAAATAAATATTAATAGTAAAAATCCTGCCAAAATAATAATGCTAGTATTAAATAAACTGAAATACTATAAATATATATTATTAAATTAATCAAAATCAAATAAATAATAATAGTAAAAATCCTACAAAAATA